CCTTGAACTCCAAAAACACTAAAACCACAAAGGAATGTAAGGTACATGCTCTCTGAGATGATCTGCTCTCCTTTATGGGGTGTTTCCTTCCTTCTCCTAATAAACTTTATCATTCTGAATAAACTTTACTATTACTTTCACTGTATTTCACAACTTGTCTGAATTCTCTCACAGGATACAAGAACTGAGAAAATGGGACAGACCTCTTATAATAGTAGGATGAATTCAAGACTGTCTCATTTAAGTTCCAGGGATCCTTGGATGGGTACCTCTTCAATGCTGTATCCCTGGAGCTAGCACTGTTTGTTGGGTTTCTAAGGAAACATAATGACAATAACCTGGATGAGGAGAGTATCCTGATGCCAGTGAGTATACTTTTCCTCACCCTGCAGCATGGCGGCCATGGCTCTGGACTCTGTGGGTATGTTAAGTGGTGTCCTGAGAAGGAGCCTAATGTGAACTGCAACTGCCACCAAATGTGCTGAGCACCCGGGACACTGTTCTCAGGAGTGTCTGTGTCCATTCAGATGTGTAAGGCGGCACTGGACTTAGTTCTATAGCTGTCTGGAGAGTGTAGATGGACACAGCCAGGCCTGGGCTACCCTGAGGTTTGTGGTAGCAGTAGCAACCCTGGGCTCCCTGGGACTTGACAGGAGCTAAATGAATTGCATCACAACCCGAATGTTAATCTGTCTTATTTCCCTAGAAGTACAAGTGAAGCCCCATGTAGCATGAGGAGGTAACTAGTGGCAGGGCATCAAGGTAGCCATGTTTGCTGAGCTCCTACCCTGGGTCACAAACTGTGCCAAGTACTTGATAAGATGAGGTCATTTTCCTATAGAAAAGGTAAGTCACGATTCTTTTTGTCTCTGAAATCTTGCATCATCTTTGAAACAGCCCTTCCCTTCCCTTGCCTTCCCTAGCTTTCCAAACTCTTCCATCTTGGTTTTGTCATCTCAGCTCTGAGTGGGCAGTAAGCAGAGTCTGGTGCAGGCAAGCCCAGGTGCTGTCAGAGCTAGAAAGTACAGGATTTCTAAAAGCTTCCACCAGAGGTCACCTAAGCTCTGGTGTTCACTAACACTGCTTGAAAGGTGACTCATTTCCGTAAAAACTATTTTGTAAAGCATAAGCTTATTTATTTTTAAGTAAAATAGAAAAGCCTAATCAGATCTTTGGAATCTTATAATGTCACTGAGTGAGCGGAGACTGGGTTCTTTCCCATTTGCACTGTAGTTGTCTAAATGAGGGGATTACATTTGTTCATTCCCTTTTCCCTTGATTTGCTCTCTTCCTCTTTAATCTAGGAAGGATTTCTCCCAGACCTAGCTTTACAAAGTTCCTCAGGGAAAGGACAGGACTATGGCTGTTTGGGAACAAGAAGTCTCCTTGAGGGAATTCTCCACATGAGCTTCAGTGAGGTCAGGGGCTTCTGTTCCCTTAGGCCTGCCCCTCATAAATCCAGAGCCTGTCCCATGCTCCCTGCCGGCACTTTCAGGCTCTAACAGTGTATGTTTCTTGCAAAGAAGAGCCTATATCTTGAATGTCAGAAAGAATTTCATTCCCTTCTGCCAGGGAGACAGGAACACCATTTCTGAAGTCAAAGCCAGGGAACAAGACAGGCTGGGAAATGCTGTAACTGAGGCAAGATAGGTAAATGGGTGACAGGGAAATTAAAAATAATAAATATTAAAAGGGCCAGAGTCAGAAATTAGAAGAAGGAAGTAAACTGAAAAAGCAGAGTAGCAAGCTCCCTTAAAGGCAGACATACAGGGGCTAACTGTATTGCCTTTTCTTTTGAGACATTAAGAAACTGCAAACTCCTCAAATGGATCGAGAGATGGAGGGCACATTTGGCAAATGGAAGTCCTGAAATTCACCCATTGTCTCTGTGTTTTGGAAGTCCTAAATCACATCTCCATGTTGATTGACATGCTTTACCAAGAATTTCAACTCTGTCTTTTACCAAGACATGAGTTCTTTTTTTTTTTTTTTCATTTTTCTTTTATTATTCATATGTGCATACAAGGATTGGTTCATTTCTCCCCACTGCCCCCACCCCCTCCCTTACCACCCGCTCCGCCCCCTCCCTCTCCCCCCCCAATACCCAGCAGAAACTATTTTGCCCTTATCTCTAATTTTGTTGTAGAGAGAGTATAGGCAATAATAGGAAGGAACAAGGGTTTTTGCTGGTTGAGATAAGGATAGCTATACAGGGCATTGACTCACATTGATTTCCTGTGCATCTGTGTTACCTTCTAGGTTAATTCTTTTTGATCTAACCTTTTCTCTAGTACCTGTTCCCCTTTTCCTATTGGCCTCAGAAGACATGAGTTCTTTATGTCCTGCACATTGTCGCTTTTTACTAGAAGAAATGTGGTATTTGGGGAGTAGCAGATACCTTGTAGAATCATGATACTTTGCAACATCATTAAAAAGCCTATCAATATAAGAAACTGCTCTAAGCGCCCCCAAGGGACCAATAAAAACACTTCAGGGAGCAAGGATTATCAGAAAGGATTCTTGCTAAAAGACAGACATATTCACATGTTTTCAAAAGTCCTCAAAACCTACAGCTAGGATTTCTCTCCACTGAATCTTGCAGCTTATGTGTTGCATTTGAATCCTGACCAGGATCAAAGTTTAAAGCCCCAAACCCAGCCCTGACCTTTCCACCTGGGCAGAAACCACCAGTTTGTCCCCAGCTGGAAGCCTTGTCTAACTTTCTTACTGATGAGACTTGAGCAGTCACATAAAGAAGCAGTCTTTAACATGAGTTCTGGAATTAGAGTGGCCTGATTTTAATCCCAGCTCCACTGTCTGATCATGAACCACTGCTAAACTTCCCTGGGCCTCATCAGGAAATGTGTATCCCATAAACAGCCAATCTGGGGGGCCCTTCCCAGCCTCCAGTAGTTCTGCCTGCCTGGCCAGTCTGTAATCCATGCAGTTTCAGATACAACCTTCCTTGCTTGCTCCAGTTTCAGGCCAGATGAAGAACAGATGCAGAAATTACTGGCTCCCCTGAGACCTATGCCATAGCTTGTGAATTTCAGAGATTTTCCATCTGTGCCAAGGAAGTATTTTTGTTTATGAAGCTACAGCCTGTGGTAGGTGGAGCTTTGGACTCTGCTCAGATGATGCCTACCCAGCTGCCCAAAAGGCCCCAGGCAATCTCTAGGCTTCATGAGACATTTCCTTCAGGGCCCCTTCTATGACCACAGGAATCTATGCTATTCTGGTCTTTCATTTCCAGAGTAACTTGTCTTCTATATCAATAAGCTACTTATAGAGTAAGTTCCTAGAGGGATATAATAGCAGAGTGGCATTAGCACTTCTCACACCATTATCAACCCATAGGGAGGCCCAAAGTCATACAAAAGTTGTCTCTCTTTTCTGTAATATCCTTGTGAAACAAATACATCCAGACTTTTCAACTCATTGGGTCCTCACTGCTGCTTCAGAGATTGTATACCATTGTTATCTGCAGTGCACAGATGCATAAGCTGAGGTATGAGGTCACCACTGGTGCAAGGGCTCACAACCAGCAGAGTTGGAACTTATCACCAAGAAGGAAGCACAAGGCCATGCAGGCATTTTTAGGGGATCTAGAAGCAGGGCACCAAAGGGTGCAGTGACCTCACTTACTATCTTTCCCAGTGATCCCCATGGGAATTTGTGCTTCCTGCCCCCACCATGTTTGGTTCTGTGAGGTCAGACCTGCACTGTCCAATATAGTCATCACTGGCCATACTTGGCTATGTATATTTAAATTAAGATAAAAACAGAACTAAAAACTCACTGCCTCAGTTACCCTAGCCACATTTCAAGAGCTCAGTAGCCTCATGTGACTAATGGCCATCTTTTTTTTTTTTTGCTAATGACCATCTAATGGACAGTGTTGGCAAGGCATACTGGTTCCTCAAGTGGGAATGGTTCCACCAGGAGACATAATAAGAGTCCCATTGAATTACAACCCATGGTTGACCACTGAATTACAAGTCACATGCACTTTGGACTCTTAATACTATGGGAGCAGCAGGCATGAAGAAGAGTCACCATCATGTCAGACCATTGGCCCTGGCTATCAAGAGGAGGCAGGAATATTCTTATACAGTAGGAAGACAGAGGGTGCGCTTGTTACCCACATGTTCCCCTTGAACATCTTGACAATCCCCTGCCTCATTTCTATGGTAAGTGGACAGGGAATTTTTCATAGCCTGAGAAGTAATGGAGAAAAGTGTCTCATCCTCCTCAAGGATGAAGGTCTGTTACTCCACAAGCTAAATCACTGAGAGAGGCAAAGGTGCTGGCTGAGACTGTTCCACTCTCAGTCTAAAATGGACAGTAGATGACAGAGGCCATGAATATTAACCCAGTACAGTAGAAGGGGCCATATATTATTCCCTCTATCTTTCCCACATGAAATGCCTTAGGAAAAGCCAAATACTGAAGGTGTTTTTTGGCAGTACTGAGGTTTGAACTCAGATCCTTGAGCTTGCTAGGCAAGCATTCTACCGCTTAAGCCACTCCACCAGTCCCTGGAGTTTTTTTTTTTTTTTTTTCATCAAACAGCATGAGCTTCCTATGTGAAGCAAGTCAATCTGCACACTGTAAAGGGTGAACTGTAGGGGATACTGTGCTGCCTCCCACATACCACCTCAAGACCAATGTAATAACTCCCTCAGCTGCTAAGAGTATTGCATGGTATTGACTCATAGCTAATTCCCTCCAAAAAATAGTGAAAAGGGTCAATGAAGGTTAAAGAGTAACAAGCTTACCCACCTGATCTCAGCCTCCATTAGGAATGTCTTTGCAGGATATTCCCTACTGCAGCTTCCTATGGAACTGGCTGAAAATTCTGATTCAATTTGGTAACATCAGAGTAACACCTTCTCCCTGATTCTACTACCTTTACTCTCCTACACATGTGACTTTGAAGACTTCCTTGTCCTACCATGTCAAGTTATAGAGAAAAAGTAGTGGGGTCACCAAATGCTTACCAGTTGGATTCCACAGCCTCCTCTTCCAGCATTCCTTGCCCATGTATGTCCTGGGACCTCCAGACATGGGTGTGTACTTTCTTGTGCACGCATAGTTGAGGACCCTGCAGCTAATGTTAGGTGGTGCTAATTGTTCACCTCCTTGAAAGAGGGAAAAATAACCTGGGAAAAGGCAGACAAGAAAACCTATTAGTCCACACACAAGGAAGTCTGTGCTTTCAAGGATGGCCCTCCTCTTTGGATAGAGGTTATGTCCTGTCCCTCATGTGCTCAAGATGACCCTGTTCAGCTTTCTCCCAGAAAGGGAAACTGCCTGGTGCTGCAGAATGCCACCTACAGGTCTGCTATGTACTATGAGAACCTGGCTCCTCAAGGAGAATGGCTATTGACCGTGTCAGTTGGGAAAGTCTTTCACCATGGTACTGCTTCATGCCCGAAGTCTGGGTTCTTTGTTTCCCTGCCTGAGTGTGGAAAACCCTGTTGGGTTAGGGCAGGCTTTGCAGAGAACTCTTCTGGCTCACTGGCTGCCCCCCTGTTCACTGCTGCCTTTCTAGAAAAACCCCTTCTCAACTTGGCTTCATGTTTGCACCAAAAGCAGAAGGGTAGAAAAAGGTTTGCTTTCTTTTGGAAGCTGGTACTGTGGGGCTCCTTGACTTCTTGGGTGGTAGGAAGGGCACTGGCTAGAAGGGGGGACAGTTTGGTATGAATCCAGCTCTGGGCCTTACCCTTTGTCCACCATGATTGGCAGAGGCCTGTGGACTCAGAGTACCTGTTTCGGGGGAAGCCACAGAGAGCCAGACTTCCAGAGATTGATTCCTAAGGTCCCACTGCCGAGGTCCCTCATTTTCCTGTCCCACAGGCTTCTTGACTATCCATCTCTTAGGTTTCTGCCAGACTGGAGCAACACTGACCTCCAAGCTGGTGTCCTAGATGCTCACTGCTATCCCACCCAGTCCCCAGTACTCATGGGTCAAGGCTGCCTTGTCCTTCTGGGGAGAATAGAGATGTGGAGGTGCAAGGCTTCCCCTTACCTAGCTCTCAGGGCTGATGGACTGTGGAAACTCCCTGTCACTAAGTTCCCCCCAGAGTATCTGCAAACCCCTACCTCACTCCCCAGTGCTGTCAGCATAGTGAGGGAAGCCTCGCCACAACCCTTGTGCATCCACCATGGGCATGACGGCTGCTTTGATCACTGATTTTGGAGAGGTTCCATTCAACTTGGGGTCTTCTTAGGAAAGCACCAGAATAGGTGCCAGCCCTTCTCTAGAGACAACCATTCCTCCAAGCCTTGGACTCTGTATGTAGCCACAGTGTCATCTGTAGACTGAACCTGGGAAGTGTCATGCTGGACTCTGCACCATCCTTTGTCAAAAGTCAGCAGATATGGCTGTGATGTATAAAGTACAGATGTATGTCAATGTCTTCTGCAGCTTACCCATGGCATGTTCATTAATTATTCATTAATTATTTCTGTAACACAAAATACTCCATGTACAGTTGCTGTCACACACAATTTTTGTGTCAAAACGGGTTCTCAGAAGATTTCCACTTGCAAAAAAGAAGGAATATACATACTTTTCACTACTTCCTCAACTTATTTAAGTAAAATTCCTTAATAAGACACACAAAATAAAAATAAGACGACTCTGAACAGTGGAGAGAAGGAAGATAGGATTGGAACCTTGTAGCCTGAGGCACACCAGAGCACCAGTGTGTGGTGATATTTCTGGGGGTTTTATGTTGTTTTTGTTTTTTAACATCCTAGATTCCCAAATATGATGAAAAGGCTGGTGACCAAAAAAATACCAACAGGTACAGAGAAAAGAAAAAGAGAAGAAAGGCAAGATCAGCAACATGGGAAAGGAACAGAAAGGAAGGGAAGGAATGAAAAGGAAGGGAAGGGAAAGGAAGTGAAGGGAAGGGAATGGAAGGGAAGGGAAGGGAAGAACTGCAAAAATATTCATAAATACAACAGACTTGTTTTTTCTTCTTTAGTTTTCTAAATTATAGAAGGGAAGGGAGAAAGAAAAAACAAACCTAAAGTACTAGCAAAAGCATAACCTAACTTAACAAAAAACTTCTAGACAATAACCTCTCTAATACAGTCAAATACCACAGAAAAAACTTGACTCTCTCCCTCATCCAGTAAAGTCCACCTTTAGAGCTTAGAGTACCACCCTGGATAACTTGTAATGACCCTACTACCTACCAGTGTAGTGTCAGAGAAGGCTGAGCAGAGAGCTAGTATTTTCATCCCTGGCAAGTGGTAATAAGACCTATCTTCCAAGATGTCAGTGTAGACCACATGGAGGGCAATAATGAGACATCCCTAACCCTAACAGATGGAGATCTCAATGCAGGCCCAGCTCAGAACCAGACACTAATATAGTTTTACCCATCCCCTTTCCTCTAACTATGGTAATATCAGAGGATACCAGCTAAAAAAAAGTTTAAATAAGATCTTGAGTTTAATAACATAATATAAAAATGTCCAGATTTCAATAAAAAACTCACTCATCATACCAAGAATGAGAAAGATCTCAAAATGAATGAAAATATACAATCAATAGATGTTTACACTGAATTACCCATTAAAACTTTAAAAAATTCTGAAGTATCCATCATAAAAAATGCTTCACTGAGCAATTAAGAGCTCACTTTAAAAAATTAAAAATAGTACACTAGTGGAATGGCTCAAGTGGTAGATCACCTATCTAGCATGTGTAAGGAGCTGAGTTCAAACCCCAGTATCACCAAAAAAAAGAAAGAAAAAGAAATTAAATATAGAAACTGTCAGTAAAACAACAGAAAATATAAAGAACCATATGAAATTTTAGAATTGAAAAGTATAACAGCAGAAATTTTAAAAACTCAGTAAGACCAATCACCAGGTGCTCACACCTATAACCTTAGCTACTCAGGAGGTAGAGAGCAGGAGGATCATGTTTTGAAGCCAGTCCCTAGCAAATAGTTCACAAGGCCCTATCTCAAAAATACCCAACACAAAAAAGGGCTGGTGGTATGGCTCAAGGAGCAGAGAGCCTGCCTAGCAAATATGAGGCCCACAAAAAAAAAAAAAAAAAAAAAACCTCAGATCATCAGTAGCAGAATGGAGAGGATGGAAGAAAGAATCAGCAAACTGGAAGATAGAACAATAGAAATATCCCATTCTGAAATATTGAAAGAAAACACACTTTGAGAAAAATAACCAGAACTTCAGGTCCCTGTGGAACTATTTTAAAAAAAGATGTAATGTATCATAGGGTTTCCAGAAAAGAGAAAGATGGCAAAGCTAAAAACACAAAAGGAACAATAGCAGAAAATTAAAAGACATAAGCTTATACACTTATGCAGCTGCACAAACTCAAAACAGAATAAACCATTTCAAATTTCTGAGAACTAAAAACAGAGGGAAAAAACCTTAGAAACAGTGAAAAAGAAAAGGACACATTACCTTTATGCACAAAATGATTCAAAACCATGGAGTCCAAAAGTGGCACATTTTTTGAATGCTCTGAAACAAAGAGCTCTCAACTCAGAATTCTATATCCTGTGAAAATATACTTCTAGCATAAAGAAGAAATCAAGATATTTTCAAGTGAAACAATTTTCTCCAGTAGATGTAACCTGAAAGAACAGATAGTGGAGGTGCAGCCTCTAATCCCCATTACTTCAGATGTGGAAGCAGGAGAACTGCAAGTTCAAGGCCAGCCTAGGCAACTTACTAAGACATCATCTCAAAAATAATTTAAAGAGCTAAGTACATAGCTCAGCATAGAATGCTTGCCTAGCATGCAAGAGCCTTGAGTTTGATCCCCAGAACAAAAGAATAGATAAGGAAATTATCTAAATAGAAAGGGAATAATAAAAGAAGGAAATCTCAGAATATCAGAATGGCAAAAATGTTCATAAGTACAATAGGCTTGCTTTTCTTCTTCAGTTTTCTAAATTATAGCTGTCAGAGCAAATATTTTAACACTAAATTTGAAAACCACGGGCCTAGACTACTGGTATTAAAACTGTGCTCATTGATGTTACTTTATATACCTTAACAAGTAAATGGTCCAAGAATAGGTTGGGAGGAAGAAGAGTGTGAGAACCAGACCCTGTTTCAGCTGAGCAGCAGCATGACTATCATCTATTTGACAGGTTTAACTTCCATCAGACCAAAACATTCCATGACCACAAAGATCTTAAAGTCAAATTCTAGACCTCAGAATAACTGACATCCTCCAAAGAACATCCGGACCTTTGCCAAGATCAAATCCCAATACCTGGAAAACTGTTGAAAATCTCTGAAATTTACAAAGCTTAGGAAACAAGAAAACTCTTCAGTCAGTGTTGCTGGAATACTTTCCAACCTGCAAATGGAGAAGCCAAGACTGAAAATCCAGTGCCCAGAAGGAGACTCAAGATGCAAAGCTCTGTCCTAAAGAATCCCTTTGAAGAGAGTAGCATTTGTGCAATCTGGTTTACAAGAGAGGAGACAGACACAGAAAAATTAGTAACAGCCAACATCACACAGGAAGAAGAAGAGCTAAAATGCAAACCCAGGTCTTATAAAAGCCAAAACCAATGTTCTGGATCTTCCTTACACACATCTCATGGCCACACCCACCCAATCAGGCCTTCTGTATATCTCTAGTGTAGGAGAAAAAATAACCCACTAGATGCAAACAACCTGATACTTTGACAACCTCTGAGAAAAATGAAGTATACTGCTATGTTTTCATGGTAATAACCATTAGGAATCTGTGCTTGTCTTAATATCTATCATTATATATCTGCCTTCCTAGGTAATATGACTCAGGAATATTAGAAAAGTGGAAAAGGCAGGAATGGCTGGAGGAGGGAAAAGAGAGAAAAGCATTACAAAATATTGACCTTATCTTATACTCGCCAAACACTACATGGAACTTTCTGCCATGGAATCTGCTTGCTTATCCTGCCTCTGATCACTCACCACCTTTAATTCAGAATGAAGTTGGATAAGCCAGCCAGTAGACGGCACAATAAGGAACTGGTCAGCACATGATCATAGTCAAACACTAGCAAGTGTCATTTCACCCACCAAAGGGGCCTTTTTCCTAAAGCTTTCTCCAAGCATCATTTGCAAACACTCTAGTGGAGTGCTACGACATAACAAGGCCACCCACCCTCCTTCAGGGGCAGTATGACATGAAGCAGTGGGTGAAAGCCTAGTGTTGCCAAATCCAACTTGGCTGTGGACACTCATACAGCTCAGGCCATGCGGGAGATGCCTTCATGAACCCACATCACACCTCTCTTTGGTCATCAGCAAAAACCACTCTGTAGCACAACTCAGTGCACCACATGGACCTAGTCAACTGGAAAGATCTCACTCTCAACAACTCCCCACAATAATCATCAGAACCTAGTCAACTGGAAAGATCTCACTCTCAACAACTCCCCACAATAATCATCAGAACCCAGAGACTTCCTGTATTCTCTCCAAACAGACCTGTAAAATCAGAAACAAGAATTGGAAACATCATCACAAGCTAAGGGAATGGGGCAACCTTTAGGTTACTGCAGAGGAAAAGGGCCCAATGTTGACATCATCGAGGACGGGAGCATGCTGCAGGGATGAGCCATGTGGCTGTGGAAGGCTGTTCCTGAGCCTCATGGGGTGATTATCCCTTCACACCTGCTGCCTGAATGCTTCTGGTCCAGTAGAGGCAGCCAGAGCTTTGTCATGTGACCAATAGGCCAAATGACCAAATCAATGGGTTCTTAGGAAGAGAACTGACTCTTTGCCTGTACTAATATTTATCATGAAACCCAGGTGATGGCACTGACCACTGCACCAGGGTGCACTCCAGACTCCTTTTCTACCCATCCTGAATTGGTCCAATCAAGTTTCCTAGGCTCCTCTACCACCACCTCACTCCAGCCACAAAACCCGCATCTCTAGGAGTATTTGACCCTCTCAGGCTGCCCTACACCATCTCCAACCCAACAAAATGCTTTTGATTTCAAAACCTAGCTGAAACACTTCCTCTTCTGTGATTCTTCCCAACTCCTCACCCAGAGTTAGCACTTCCTTTTTCTTCACATTTACCTACTTCCTGCTGCCTGCGAACAGGCTCTGTGTTTTTGAAGGTCAGCCTGGATGCTGCCCCAGAAGCCCTGTGAGTAACATGGAGGTGAGTGTGTGCCTCCAGGAAGCCTCTCACTGGACAATGTGTGCTGACTTGACTCTAAGGTGGCCCTGATGGTATGTCCTCAGACCCTCCCTCTCTCAGTCCACATACCCTTCAACACCCAGGCAATTTTCTAAAGTACCTTCCAGAAGTAGCTACCGGGCAGAGGTTGGGATT